CGCCCCGGGGTCCCCCCGCCCCACCTCGGGGCTGTCTCCGCCCGCTCCCTGCCCCTCGGCTTCGCGGCGTGGCGACCATGGACAAGATCCTGGAGGGCCTGGTGAGTTCTTCCTACCCGCTGCCGGTGAAGCGGGTGATTGTGCGGAAGGTGGTGGAATCGGCTGAGCACTGGCAGGACGAGGCGCAGTGCCAGGCCATGTTTGACCTGACCACCCGGCTCATCCTGGAGGGCCAGGACCCCTTTCAGCGGCAGGTGGGGCACCAGGTGCTGGAGGCCTACGCCCGCTACCACCGGCCCGAGTTCGAGTCCTTCTTCAACAAGACGCGCGTGTTGGGCCTCCTCCAGCAGGGCTACCATTCGCTGGACAGGAAGGATGTCGCCATCCTGGACTACATCCACAACGGCCTGAGGCTCATCATGAGCTGCCCCTCGGTGCTGGACCTCTTCAGCCTGCTGCAGGTGGAGGTGCTGCGGCTGGTGTGCGAGAGGCCGGAGCCGCCGCTGTGCGCCCGGCTGAGCGACCTCCTGAGCGACTTCGTGCAGTGCATCCCCAAGGGGAAGTTGTCCATCACCTTCTGTCAGCAGCTGGTTCGAACCATAGGCCACTTCCAGTGCCAGTCCACCCAGGAGAAAGAGCTGCGGGAATATGTCGCCCAGGTGACAAAGGTGAGCAGCTTGCTGCAGAACATCTGGAAGGCCGAGCCCTCCACACTGCTGCCTTCCCTGCAAGAAATTTTTGCAATCATCTCTTCCACAGGTAAGGGTCATTGTATCCCAAGAAAAATCTCTCTGGGAAATTCAGTCTGCCTCCCTCATACACACACCATATTTGCTTCCCTGCCCTGGAAATATTGTTAATGGAGAACAAACCTTAGTGCCTCATCCAAAATTTTATTCCCATCCACAATCCTCTTCAGGCTGTCGTTTCTACCTTAAAAAGCAGGCCGTGTTTTTTATTTTAAACGTTGAGCACTTCGAGGTCTAAGACCATTGGCACTAAACAAGTTGCTTAATTACCCAGCCTCTGCTCTAGTTATGAAATGCTTTGGGGATGACAGCTACTAAATAAAGCTTCTATTCATTAGTGACTAATGGTAGCCTAGTAATGTTTACCATATTATTGTTGCACTGTAACCCTATTATTTTGTTATCATGAGCCTCCCTTCCCCCCTTTTTTTTATGATTTCAGAGAGGAAGGGAAAGGGGTAGAGAGAAACATCAATGATGAGAGAATCCTTGATTGGCTGCCTCCTGCACGCCCCCTACTGGGGATGGAGCCTGCAAACCTGGGCATCTGCCCTGACGGGGAATCAAACCTTGACCTCCTGGTTCTTAGGTCGATGTTCAACCACTGAGCCTCACCAGTCTTGTTCCCCTGTTTTTTAATTTTCCCATTTTTTAAAATTCATGGTCTGTGCAGTTTCTTTTATTACTGGCTTGTCCTAGCTAACTGTAGTTTTTGAGTATTGACATTTTCTGTCTACAACAGTGTTCCTGAGAGAGATTCAGGGAAGGGAAAGAATATGAGGACCTAATGGGTGTTTTTTCCCTTGGAGGATAGCCCATGAACTGCATCCTTAGAAAGCAGGGAGGGGTCAAGTGACACTTAGCAAGAAAATGCTTTGTCATCCAGGAATTTTACCTGTGCATTTTACCTGAACTTGGAGCTTCTAGCTCTGGAGGTTGTGGGACAGTAGATCCAAAACCATGTTCACTTCCCCTCTACGTGGTACAACCATTCTTCCTGGCTATTGTTGGGAATTGAACTTGTGAAGGAGGTGTCCTCCTTTATCCTGAGAACCAGAAGAGTAGAATTTTAACAAGCTCCATGCAGTCTGATGAATTAAATAAATTTACAAACAAATTACCAACTTTGTATTTGCAGGATCTGAGTTGGTTTATTTTTTTTTAATGGTAATCTTTCTTGTATTGCCTGTGTTGCTAGAGTTGTTATATTTCCCCAGAACTTTTTCAGCTGTAGCAATAAAGATGTTCACCTTGGATTTGCTTAACTTTTATATGGTTTAAGTAAAATTCCCCTCTCCCCAAATTTCCACTTCTTTAAGAGATTTTTTTAAAATATATTTTTATTGATTTCAAAGAGGAAGGGACAGGGAGAGATGAAAACATCAATGATGAGAAAGAATCATTGATCGGCTGCCTCCTGCACGTCACCTATGGGGATCGAGCCCACAACTGGACATGTGCCCTTGACTGGAATCGAACCCGGGACCCTTCAGTCCACAGGCCAACGCTCTACCCACTGAGCCAAACCGGCTATGGCTTTAAGAGATTTTTAAATATCTTACTTAGAACACTTTACAGACTACTGTAATTAATAAGCTATAAGTTACTTTGGAGAATCTAACCTGGGAATTTAAATCTTACATTTCTGTTTTTTAAGTGAATATTTTAGCTCGACAAAGACAATATTAAAAAGTGCAAGAAAATAAAGTAACTCATGGGCCAAATATGGCAATAGTTTTTATATTGCAGTAGTTCTGTCTATAGAATGAGCAATCATTGTAATTCTTAATCTCTAATTTCTGTAATGTAACATTCCTTTTATGTGACGAGTACCCATGAGGTGGAGCTTGACAACTGTTTTCTGATCAACACCTTTGCTGCAATTACTTTTTTTTGGTTAATTGTTCTCCCTCAATACTTCACTTGAACCTTCTTGCCATATCCCTTTTTCTTTTTAATTAAAAAAAATAGATGCATCATTTGAACCTTCTGTAGCATTGGCAAGCCTTGTGCAGCATATTCCTCTTCAGATGATTACAGTTCTCATCAGGAGCCTTACTACGGATCCAAATGTCAAAGATGCAAGTATGACCCAAGCTTTTTGCAGGTACTTCTTCATGACACTATAGATGGTAACTGTAGATTTGGGAGGAAGAGATATTTTGTTGTATTTTTGTCAATAATGAAAAACTTAGAAATGTTTAAAACTGAAATCATGGAATCAAATATATAAAAATTCTCCAAATTAATTGGGATGTATTGTTTACCTTACTATAGGCTTGACAGGCATCCCAGTAATTCACAAATCCGTTTTTATTTCAGCTTTTTAATTTTCAAAAACATACATACATTTACACATATTGTACAGGCGGGAGTTTTTTGAATTATTAATGTATTTTACTAGTTTCTTTGCTCATTGTTTCTTGCTACCTGTTTCTTCCCTCTGGGATATTTTTTTTCTTCTAGCTAAGTATATGCTTTTACTTTCTCTTTCAATCAGGATTTCTGAGTAATACACTGTTAGCATTTGTCTGTTTAAAATGTGGAGTTTTTTTTCCTTATTTTCTTCCTTATTATTCAATAGCTAGTCCTGTGATACCATACTATTAGGATCTTCTTCATATCTCTTTTTATTTACGTTTCCCTTTATTCTTATCACTTTATCAATTCTCATTTATATGTGGTTGAGTTTCAAGTCTTTATGTAAAGTCCTCATTGTTAATTTACTTTTAAGAAACACTTTCTATCTCCTCCATCTCCACAAAGACACTCCTTCTGTGTCCTATTTGGCAGCAACACTCTTGCCAGTGTGACTGCAGCAGCACTAAAATTTTTTTCTTTTTGAAATGAATATATCATAAATGAAGTTGTCTTCTAAGTAAAATAGGAAGATGCAGAGAAATACAGATTTCACAAGTGAAAGTGAAATCAGAAATCGGTTGGTCCCTCACCTTCATTGCCTAAGTGAGAATAGCTTACATTTTCATTTCATGCCATAACATTGCAACAGAGTCTTCTGGTTGGTCTTTTTGCCAGTAGTGACTTTATCTCTCTTCTCTAAGTCAGCCTGACCTACTCATTTTACCCTTCTGATCAAACTACAGTGACTTTCACCACTTACTAAGTCAAGTGTAAATTCCACTTCTTCCCATTCAGCACTCCTGGTCTTAATTTTTCAATCTTTTCAAAACTACCATAATATCCATCTTATGATTTTATTTTGTTTTTAAAATATATTTGGAAATTAATTTTTACCTATGGGAGGTTGTGATCCAATTTTTGTATTGCATTTCTAATTTACCTACATAAAGCTATTTAACCCATAATCTACCTGGAGTAATTATTCTTATATTACAAATGTAATTGAAAAGGATAGCAGTGTTTATTTTACCATACTCCTACCTTATACTTCCCTATACTCTATATTTTTCCACATATTAGCACTTATATTTTACTGTCATTTTCTGTAATGCAAAGAAATGCAAATGTTTCATTAGACATTATGAGCAGCCTCAGCCCTGACTGGTGTGGCTCAGTTGGTTTCCGGTTAGATACATCAAAAGGTCTCCATTTCAATTCCCGGTCAAGAGCACATACCTGGGTTGCATTCACCCTG